CATGCCTGCTGCTCCCCTCAGCAGTGTCTTTGGTCAGTCTGCCTGTTCTGCTCCCCGCTCTGTCTCTGGTGAATCCTCTCACCTCCCGTGCATCTGGCATGTACCCCGGTTCTTGTGTAAAAAAATAAATCTTAAAAATATATATCACCTCAGCCCTTTATCATTTGCATGAGGGGCCACACATAATTTACTAGCCTATAGAATTCTGTACAAATGCACATGATGTGCTTATAAATAATAATAATATAATAATATATAAAATATATAATATAATAATATATTTTGTTGATAAATGATAATATATTGTGAACTCACCTCATGTTAGGTACTGTGTTTGTGCTTTACATAAGCCATACCATTCTACCTTAACAAAAACCCAGAATAAATTACAATTATTATCTTCCTGTTTTGCAAATCAGAAAACTGGGGCTTAGAGCTCAGTTCTTGCCAGGACTACCCATATTCTCAATGACATCTCTTTAAAATATCCCTTCAAACACAAAAGTTCTATTCCCTAAAAGTAGTTTAACTTGTATTGATAAAGGCAAATGTCCCATTAGATGTTTGTAGTTTTGAATGACAGAGTGCTGTAGACAGGTTCATAAATTGCCTTCCTTATTCTACTCCACCAACACAAAAATAGTAGCATTTATTTATAAGAAAAGTGTCACAATAGTCAAAGCTCAGACTGAGTTGAAATTTGAGAGCAAATTAAAGACACAATAAAGTTCTCATAGATAAGCCTTATATAAGAACAAGTTGACTAATCTGACTACTTGAGAAGTTGTGATGTTGGCAGATGACCAGGATGGTGGAGTTCTCTCACTGGGGCCTTCCCTCATCCAAAGATATGGTGCATAAAAGAGTAAACAGCAAAGGTAATTACTGAAACATGTTCTCCCTAACTTGTCCTATTTTGACATATGAGACTTAGCAGTTCATTCTGAGCAATGAAACAGGCCAAACAACTAGCAAAACATTCACTCACCAATCAGGAAGGAGAGTTATGGTGACATTTTGATCATATGAAGAAAAAAAAAGAAAGCATACAATACAATTTGAAGATAGTACAAATTACTCAAGAAAGGCAACAGATTCTGAATTTAAAATTACACCAGAGTATGAAAATAATGATCAGTAAGTACAAAGACAATTAGATAGATCCATCTATATATACTCCTTTATGAACATGTTGTCAACAATAAGAAAGACAAAATTGAACTTGCTTACAGCATATTGACCAGAGCTAAACATGACCAGAGTGCTAACAACATCAAGGTCATGCAGGTGACCATATGGTGTTCAAGATATAACATAAGACAGTGGCACCCTGGATAATATATCTGTTTGTATTCATTCAACAATAGACTTAGTATGTACAATACATAGATGTATGAAAGACACACACAGTCTCTAAACTTATGGAGTTTGTAGTCCCATCAGAGAAACACATATTAATCAAATAATGATTAGTTTAGATAAATATGTAATCAAAGAAAATTACATCATTCCAAAGAAAAAGATATTACCAGAAAAGAAAACCATAAATCAATGCCTCATGAACACAGACAGAAACTCTAATAAAATATGAACAAACCAATATCCAGCAGCATAAAAATAGGCTATACAGGATTTTAATTTTTTTTTAATATTTATATTTTAAAATATAAATATATTTATAAATTTAGAAAAAAAAATTATATTTACTGGAAAAGGAAACTGAAAATTAATTAAAGAAAATTTAATTCACAATAGCATCAAAACGAGTAAAATATTTAGAAGTAGATTTCACAAATAATACATAAGACACATGCACTGAAAACTACAAAATGCTGCAGAGAACATTCTATGGTCATGGACTTAAAGACTCAGTATTAACAAGAGAGTAGTTTTTATTAATTGATCTTTACATTGAAATCAATCCTTACCAAAATCCCCACGGGCATTTTTGCAAACATTGAAAAGATGACTCTAAAATTTACATGAGAAATATAGGACTTAGAATATCCAAAGGAATATCCAAAGGAATTGTGAAGAAAAAAAATCAGAAACTTTATACTACCATATTTTAAAATTTAATATAAAGCAACAGTAATCAAAACCAGATGAAATTGATGCAAGGATAGGCATATAGATCATTACAATAGACTCAAGAATGCAGATATGTGTCCTTTACTTCATGGTTGCACACTGCTCAACTAACATGCCAAGTGCAGTCAAATGGGAAAGAATGTTCTTGTCAAATATGGATCAGCAGTAATTGAATATCCATATGCAGAATAATGGTTTGGACCCTCATCTCACACTATACATAAAAATTAATCTAAAATAGATTACAAATCTAAATCTCAGGGTTAACATTATAGAACTTTCAATAGTAGTAATCATAGCAGAAAGACTTAAAGATGTTTATTCAACAGAACCAAAAACTGGAAACAAACCAAATGTCCATAAATTGAATAATGGAGTACTATTCAGAAAAGAAAAAGAATAAACATGCTATAACATGGATGAACCTCTAAAACACCACCTTAAGTTAAAGAAGCCAGATGTAAAAGAATAAATATCACATGATTTCTATTTAAACAGAGAGCAGATTAGGGATGCCTAAAATTAGAGGAAGGAATAGAAATGGATTGTATATAGGCATGAGGAATGTTTTTAAGGTTGTACAAATATTCTAAAATGGGATTGTATGATGTTTGCATGACTATTAATTTAGTAAAATTGATGACTTCTGTAGCTAGAATGGATAAGTTTTAAGGTCTGCAAATTACCCTCAATAAAGCTATTTTTACAAATAAAACACTGAGTGTGTCACAAAAGAGTGAATTAGACTGAGAGACCAGAGGCAACTGAGGGTCAAAAAGAGCACTTTTAAAGAAAAATTTAATGTTTAATCTGAAAGAAGACTAAGATTTTATCGTGTTATGTGACAGTAGGGTAGAGAATAGGAAGCAAGGAAGGGAATGAATAATATTTCAGCCAGAATGAGTATCAAATACAAAACCTTAGGTGCAAGGAGACTGCAGGCAATGAGAAGCACAAGCCCATTAGTGCAGCTGAGGAAAGTGGGGAGAAAGATGAAGAAAAGAAGGACTTAGATTCCATTGCAGTAAAGTTTTTGGATTTTATTTTAAAATAATGAGAAATCATTGAAAGACATTAAACAAAATAGTAATGTGACCATATGTGTAATTTTAAAAAATCATTCTTGTTACTGTGGGTCAAAGGTAAGAAACATTTTCTGTGAAGAGAAGTATTTTACGTTTTGGGGGCTGCCATGGACAAAGGGCAAACAAATGAGCTTGTCTGTGTTCCAGTCAACTTCATTTACACAAACAAGCAGTGGGCAGGACTTGGCCCTTTGACTATAATTTGGTGACTCCCTGCAATAGATCAATAGATGGGTAATGAGTTAGAGAAAAAAGGAAACCAGGTTAGGAGGCAAATAAAAGATACAAGTAAAATCATGCAATATTTGTCTTTCTGGTTTATTTCATATGCACAATCCCCTCTGGTTTTTTTCCCCAAATGACAGGATTTCATTTTTTTCTTTAAGGCTGAAAAATATTCCAGTGTTTGTTCACAGTAACAGAGAGTAGAATGGTGGTAACCAGAGGGTAAAGGAGGAGAAAGAGATTTTTGTTTATTTTTTAAGTACAATGGTGGCCATCAGGGGCCAGGGGGAGAAACATCATGAGGACTTATATTTAATGGGCACAGAGTTTCTGTTTTGTAAAATGAAGGGAAGTCTGGAGATGGATGATGGTGATGGTTGTAGAACAGTATGAATGCATTTAGAACCACTGAACTGGACACTTAAAAATGGTTAAATGGTATATTTTATGTGTATGTGTATTTTACCACAATAAAAATACTGGGGTGGGGGGGATAAGCAAGTGCAAAATGATGTGTCTTACATTAGTCATTGCAAAGAGGGTTGAGCACACTCCAGACAGAATTTGTATTGTATGTGTGAGGTAATGGGGGAGGGGGCTGTCATGAATAACCTTTGGCATCAATATCTAGGAAAACGATAAGAAGTGGATATGGAACCAGGATGTGGAAGCACACTATTTGAAGGAAATGAGAAGAAAACCATAGTATCTACTCACTAAGTTGACATGTTAAGTAAAATAGACCAGTTTAAGTGACCATTTGCACAATGCTTTAAAATATTCTATGAAGACAATCCCCCCCACCCAACAAAAAACTGATAGAATAAATAAAGGAATGCTCAGATTCTCCTCATCCCACCCATGGTTGATTCCTTTTACTCCCTTGGCCACTTTAGGTACAAATACATTTGCACAGGTCTACAGTGTCATATTATGGAGTTGGGCCTTATTCCATGGGAAATGAGAAACTGGTAAAAGACTTTACATCAAGGGGAGCAAGCAGACAAAAGCCATACAGGAGCTATAGCAATAGTCCAAGCAACATTATGGGGTAGAAGACTTAAGTTAGTCAGTGGGTAAATACTAAGTTCCTATGCCATACCATGCACTGTGGTTGGTAAGTGGGGAGGTATTAAAGGAAAAGAAAAGATGTTCTTAAGAGGTATTTTTTTGGGGGGAATTTGAAGTAACTTGTGCTTAGATAAAGGGAATTTTAGAAGGCAATCATTTTAATTGAAGTGAATTTGAGTGACTGGGATAATTAGAACCCATCAGGGAAACCAGAATTTTTTTTTTTTAAATTATCTCATGTAAAGACATCACATTCCTCATGATGAGTTTGGCCTTCTAGTAAGTTAGTTGGGAACCATCAACCCAAAGATACAAGTCAATGCCAAAGGGGCAAATGAATTTTTAAAGAGAACATGAAGAGACAAAAGAATCAAAACTGAATTTTTTCTGTAGTTTGTCTTGCCGTGACCCAGAGGGAAAGAGAAAGTTGTGAAGAAATGCAAAAAGGAACACAGTGAAGCCTCAGAAAAGCAGAATCATAGGCCATGTAAGGATAGTCAAGAATTTTCATATATGAAATTTGTTTACCTTTCAAATATATTTTCTTCTTTCCACTGTGTTCCTTTAGTTCAAGCCATCAATGTCTCCTATCTGAATTACCAGAGTGTCCTTTGACCTCCATGCTTCTGGTTCAGTGTGGACTCCAGAAGTCTTCCGTCTTCTATGGATTCCCTTCACCCTGTGGATTAAAACAGAAAGTACATAATGTGAAAGGCATTTCATGAGTGGATTCTTTGTCTACGCTTCCTGCATTGACTTTTACCACCACCTCTCCCCTACCTGTTATACCCAACTATTTGAACCTATACCTCATAGATTTCAACTCCATTTATCTTTCTTCATTAAGTTTGAGGTGTATCACAAAGAATTTGTTACCAATAATAAAGTTCTGAGGTTTATGAATATTTACATTTTTAATTAATAAGAATAGGTTCAAAATTGTCCCGCAAATGTCACTCTTTCTTGTTTGTATTCCAGTATGCTAGAGGGAAAGGAGTAAAAGTGATTGCCATGGGTTTATGAGAGGAAACAATGTTCTTTCACAATTGTCACACTTAATGATCCATCAATCCCTCTGTTAATTCCTCAAGAGGACAACTCACAACTTTTACCTCTGTACCTGGTAACTGAAAACTCCTAATAAAAGTCAGTCAGGATTTATTTTTTCTTGATGCTTTCAAGAAATGGTAAATGTATTTCACAGACTTTGACTATGGGTGAAGGAGACTTTGGAGATTAGACAATGGAGACAGCAAATATAGGCGATTTCAATAATTTTGGTAATGAAATATAAGGCAGTACACAGAAAAAAGGTTCGAATGAATGTTTTCTAACCCTCTCACTTCCCATTCTCTCCAGTCTGCTGTCTCTTCTCTAACCATTTCATAGAAATGGCCTGGAATAAATAACTTCCATTGCCAAATCCATATCACATTCAAATGCTTATCTTCCATGATCACTCAGTAACAGGCAGCTCGGTAGGCCAGTTCCTTTTCCCTTACCCCTGAGTCACATTTGACCTACCTATAAGAAAATATTTTCTTTCTATCTTTTTGGTCACCCCTTTGCTAGCACAACCTTCACCTGGAGCTGGAATTCATGGCTTTGAACTGGCCCATCTGTCTTTCACACTACATCCCTGCCCTGGCGATCTGTCCCATTGTAATCGCCTTGAATACCAACTATACATCAATGATTTCCTTGTCTTCAAAGATTTTTTTAGCCCACTGAATATACAGACATCTTTACATAACTATCCCACAAATATTAATGCATGTTCAAAAGTAAATTTTTTATCTTTCTTCTCAAATCCTAGTATAAAAGTACAAACATGATTCTCACTTGCCCAAGCCAGTTTGCACATTGTTTGCACATACAATTTTAAATGCAGTCCTGTCAATACTAGTAACAAAATGTATCATTACCTGCTTACTGATTTTCACTTGCACTGCCACCACCTAGTTTAAACCACCATCATCTCTTACTTGGTATTACTGAAAATAACTCCTAAAGGGTTCTCAGTTTTTGTTGCCTTCCAAACTATCAACACAAAACATAGTTTGAATTCTATTTTCACTGAACTTAAAACACTTCAAAATCTTAGACCAAAAAATGAAACTCTCTGAAGAAACACCACTCTTACACTGTTGGTGGGAATGGAAATTGGTCTGGTCAATATGGGCAGCTGTGGGGAGGTTTCTCAAAAGACTGAAAACGGATGTGCCAAACAACCCAGCAATTCCACTCCTAAGGATCACAAAACACTGATTTGAAACAAAACCTGAACTCTTGTTTATCACCTCATTCTTTACAAGAGCCACTATATGGAAACAACCTAAGTTCCCCAAGACAGATGACTGAATCAAGAAGTTGTGGTATAGGGCCTCCCTGGTGGCACAGGCGGGTAAGTGCCCACTGTGAAACAGTTGCAGCATCTGCAGTGTGGGTTCGATCCCAGCAGGCCAGCGAGAATCCCACATGGTGCAGTAGACCACTCCTGCCTCGCCCGCTGCTCCCCTCAGCAGTGTATTTCGTCAGTGTTCCTGTTCTGTTCCGCCTCCGTCTCTGGTGAATCCTCTCACCCGCCCGTGCATCTGGCCTGTACCCTGGTTCTCGTATAAAAATAAATAAATCTTAAAAAAAAAAAAAGTGGTGGTATATATACACAGTGGAATACTACTCAGTAATCAAAATAAATAAATACAGAAAGAAAGCAAGAGAGAAAGAGAGAGAGAGAGAGAGGGAAGGAGGGAGGGAGGGGGGAGAGAGAGAGAGAGAGAGAGAGAGAGAGAGAGAGAGAGAGAAAGAAAGAAAGAAAGAAAGAAAGAAAGAAAGAAAGAAAGAGAGAGAGAGAGAGAGAGAGAGAGAGAGAAAGAAAGAAAGAAAGAAAGAAAGAAAGAAAGAAAGAAAGAAAGAAAGAAAGAAAGAAAGAAAGAAAGAAAGAAAGAAAGAAAGAAAGAAAGAAAGAAAGAAAGAAAGAAAGAAAGAAAGAAAGAAAGAGAGAAAGAAAGAAAGAGAGAGAGAAAGAAAGAGAGAGAAGAAAGAAAGAAAGAAAGAAAGAAAGAAAGAAAGAAAGAAAGAAAGAAAGAAAGAAAGAAAGAAAGAAAGAAAGAAAGAAAGAAAGAAAGAAAGAAAGAAAGAAAGAAAGGCCATGTGTAGTAACATGGATAGAGCCGGAAGGGATGATGCCAAGTGAAATAAGCCAGAAAGAGAAAAGTAAATACCAGTGGTGTCACTTATGGGTGGAATATAGAGAAACCAAACAAAGGGTGAAGACCAACTCTTGAAACATTAAAGCATTAAAACCATCCCTTGAAAGCTGGCCATAAATCTAAGGCACGGGAGATGTAAGTTGGGGGGAGCACAATGGACTATGGTAGAGGACTATGGGCACTTTGTCTTTGGGAGAGAGCTCCCGTGACCACGCCTGAGGGGAGAAATCTTATAATGTCAAAAAATTCACAGGTATGTAAAACAATGATGCTTCATTAAAATAATAATAACTAATGAATAAAATTCTCTGAGATGGCCCCTAGTGACCTTGTAAGATCTGACTATTGCTTATTTGTATACTCTACTTTAGTCTGCTCCTGCCCACACTCACAATTCCCAGCATACTGGTTTCTCTATTTCTCATCTACACCAAGTTCCTCCCATCCAAAGATCTTGTGGGTGTGATTTCTCTTGCCTTGAACACATGGCCCTGTCCCGCCCACTTCCTTGCCAACTACTCCTCAGCGTGCATGCCTCAATTTAAACATCCTTGCATAAAGTGAAATTTCCTACCACTTTTCAAACAGAATTAAGTAATTCAATGCTCCCTTTTAAACTCGCTTTTGATGTATATTTCCTCATGGCACTTGTCACAGTTAGTCTCTACGTTTGTGCTTGTTTGCTAGACTATAAGTTCCATGAATATAGGAGCCATATTTCATCTTTAATCACCAGCACCTTGTCTAGGACTGGATTAAAACAGGTGCCATAACAAATATTGTTAGGTAAATGGATAAAATGGATATTGTGGTTATTTGAGCATAAATGAGAGGAAAAGAAAATGAGAGTTCAAACACTTCAACAATTAAGTCAATAACTAAGTTCAATAACTAAATGTTGAATTCAAGGATTTGGGGAATAGTAATCGTGGATCAAATTTATTAAGCACTCCCTAACTGTTGAGAACAGGAATAAATTATTTCATGTTCAACATTACTGAACTCATAAAAAGTCAGTGAGCTTACAAGTGAAAAATCTAGGAAACAGAAATTTTGATTAACTTACCCAAAAGACACAGAAATGGAAGAGAAGAAACTGGAATTCAAACCTAGGCAGTCTGGCTCCACAGCCTTCATGCTTAAGCACTATTTAATTCAGAACTTCCCAATTGGTAAGCCACGAATGAATTGCAGATGTGGCCCTAGAAATCAATTGGTTCAGCTCTGGGGCAGCCAGGCTGGTGGCCACAGGCCCTGAACTGGCTTGTCCAGGGCTCCACAGAGGGCAACGCAGAGGTCAGTCTGATAGCTGAGCCAAATCATAAAGGAGGACTGGGGAGTGACTCCAGAGCCTCTATATTCCCCTACCCACATCCAAGCCTAGGTGAACACCTCAGCAGCACCTGAAGAAGGCACCCTGTGTGTTTTGGTCAAGGTGTTCCTGGAGCTGCCAGGTGTGTGGGGGCACAATCAGCAGATCTGATGCTGATGGTTGAGGGGGCAGGGCAACAGATGAGGACAAGCAGGGACCTCCATTTTCATGTAATTGAACACATCTTCCCAGGGCCTCCCCTGGTGGTGCAGCAGTTGAGTGCTGGGCTTCTAAGCTGCCTGCAGCCTCTGCAGCGCCAGTTCGATCCCCAGTCATATGGCGCGCAGACGTCTCCTGCCGTGCCCACTGCTCCCCTCAGCAGTGTATTTTGTCACTCTGCCTGTTCTGTTCCCTGCTCTGGCTCTGGTGAATTCTCTCACCCTCCTACTCTTCTGATTGTACCCAGTGCTTGTATAAATAAATAAATAAATCTTTAAAAAAAAAGATTGAACACATCTGCCGAGTGATGTGCAGTCGGCTGCACAGTGACTGCCCTGCTGCTGGAGGTATCTTCTGCTAATGGGAGCTTCATCAATATTTTGAAATGCTTTGTCTAGCTGGTTTGATTGCTTTAGAAATCCATTCTCATGTCCTTACTTTTGTCAGTGAAAGAAAGAGCTTTTATTTTTTATTTAAATTTTATTTTTATATTCCCCATACAATTACAACCCCTTCATTTTGACCCCAAACCCTCCTTTCCCTGCCCACCACACTACCTCGCCAATATTTGTTGTTGCTAGTTTTTTTAATATGTGCCATTCTCACTGGTGTAAGATGGTATCTCATGGTAGTTTTGATTTGCATTTTCTTGATTACAAGTGATGTTGAACATTTTTTTCATATGCCTATTGGCCATTTGTATTTCCTCTTCAGAGAAGTTTCTTTTTAACTCTTCTGCCCGTTTTTTGACTGGATTGTTTTCTTTGTTTTTGTTGAGTCTCATCAGCTCTTTGCAGATTTTTGTGATCAGTCCTTTATCATTAATGTTGTGTGCAAAAATGTTCTCCCAGTCGGTGGGGTTTCTCTTTGTTTTTGTTATTGTCTCTTTTGCTGTGCAGAAGCACTTTAATTTGATGTAGTCCCAGCTGTTGATCT